ATCTTTGTGACAAAATCCAGATCTATTGAGTGTCTTTCTGTAATTCTTTCTTTATTGAGTGTTACTTTTGTGCATGTATCTAATCTGAAATCCCTACCCGATGTCATTATTGAAATATTTGAATTTGGATATACTCTTCAACTCATTGTTTTCTGTGGGAAAAAGTTTGATATCATCCATGTAGCATATGTGATTAATTACGTTCCTTTTTACATTGTATCCATAGTTATTATTGTTTAGTTCATGCAAAGAAAGATTAATGACTGACAGAACAGAAGGGGCGACAGGGGGTTACCTTGAAAGATTTCTCGTATATCAAAACAATTGGAAGTAGTTGTACTTTTAATGTAATTTAGGATATAATCAGGTCTTTCACAGTTCTATGCTATATTTAAGGAGATTTACTATCACTGAGTAGACTTTGTACATTTCCTAAGTCTTAAGAGTGTAGCATACTATCAAAAGCTTTACGATAATCTATCGAATTTGTGCTGAGATTTCGACCTTTTCTCCTGCAATTTTTCAGCATCATTTTATTTATTAGTAGTTGATCTTTTCAATCATATGAACCTCTTCTGTTTCAGTGGAAGAATGTTGACTTCATCGAGAAAAGAGTAAGTATAGTTCGTCAGGACAGACCTGATCAATTTATATGTGGTGAACAGACATGTTATTGACTTATAATTTTTTGAATCATCTGTTTCACCCGTTCTTGGTCGGAGCTATATAGTACATTCAGCGATCCAATATTTAATTTTATTGGGGTTATTAATTAATTAATTAGCATTGATAACGTTTGCGTAAGATTTTTATAGATTGATGTCAGATGATAGAGTCATAAGTCGGGTATCTTCTCATTTGCTGGGGATTTCCATTTCGGAGATTTTGTTAGAACTATTCCCTGACGGATATCACCCCAATATGTCTTGGCCACGAGGATTTGTTGTTGTTGTTATAATAATAATTATTATTATTAAATGACTGGAAACTTCATGACAAAGCAACGTAACATCCCCCAATTTATAGCAATATACTTTAAGAGCGATGAAAGCGAGGTACAAACAAGAATAAGAAAAGAGTTAAAAATGAATGTTATGTTAAAATCAACTTTGTAAAATGTCTAAAGAAATAAAAATGTGATAGTTAAAATGTTGAATAAATATTTTTAAAATTTAAAAACTAGAATGAAATATTTAGGAATCCTTTGAAATGAAATGGGCGATCATCCTGTAGAAATTCACGTTGATGGTGCTTTCCTAAGGATCTAATTAGATCCAATTAGTGTCATTTTTGGTATTTCGGATAAGCGTTGCTCATCAGGGACCTAGGAAATGAATTCTTTAATATTTTTAGAATAGTTTAGAATGTGCCGATCTCGATGGGAATTGTCTTGAGACACCAGATGTTTTGAGTTTCAATTTCAAAGTCTTTGCATTTACTAAGTTGTTTCTTAAAATAATTTGACCTATATGCTCACATCAACATAGATTGTTACTTCAATGAGTAAACATGTCTTTTTCTGTGTAATTCTTTGCAATTATATCAAATCTACTTGCCTTTATAACCCAATCTGTTTGTGTGTAGAAGTTCCTGAACACAAATATATTTTCATTGGAAGTTACTGCAGATGATTTACGTTCCAACCAATTTTTCTCATGTGGTAAGTCATAATGACAGAATATTACCCAATTAATATATTAACAATCTCTATTATAGCGTGGCATGTATTCACTAAAGACTAAGATATTACAGCCTCTGATGCGAGTCAATATTTTCTGTATTTCTGCAAAATGTGTCCGTCCCATTCTTAAGAATATGGAACTGGTAATTTCTGCTGGTGGAGACTCTGATCTTGGGCAGCAATTGTGAATACATTAGTCTCTGAATTTTCCCAAAAGATGCCAACCCGTGATAAGTAATTGTTTTAACTGTATCGTTACCGCTGGCTCTTTCTGAATATTTTCAATACAAGTAGTTTATTTTACAACGTTTTTGATTTTCAATTTGTTTCCTCTCAACGTCTTGAAAATCGATTTCTCTAAGTATTGTTGGTCTTTTTCGGTGACTGTATTTTTGATTTTTCAAGTTTAAGTATTAGTTTCAGCGTCCAGTCAATAGTATGTGGAAAATATGTTTCTCACCAACTCCAAGAACAATTTCCTTTGTGCCAATTCTTTTCCACTCTGGGAAGTTATGATCGGTTTGTATCCCCTCCCCCCTTTGGATAGTTTGCATCTAATCCATTGATAAAAGGTTTCGAATTTTGGCATCAGCTTTTCTAACTTCACTTATTGACAAGTAGATGATATTGAAAGAGATAAAGTCAATTTGTTGATTAGTTCAATTCTATTCCCTGCATTTATTTCACGTTGCGGGTTCAACTGAACTCTTCTATAAATCTTCCCGCTTTTTCACTCATTAAGGAATTTTTATGTCATCTGTTTTATGAATATTTTCAGTTTCTTTCCCGTTCAAGTTCTTTAATCTAATTTTCTTTCTTGAATTCTATATTTTCTGCATAAAAACCTTCCACTTTATCATATTTATCCCAACTCAATTTCATTTTTATATCATCGTTTAACTTTTTCATTTGTCAACAGACCAAATTGTCATTGAAAGTTCATTCATGTAAAATAAATGGAATTATCTTTTATCTTATATTCATAGAGTGATTTTCCTAAAATGGTTGAATGTAAAAATAGATAGAAGACAGTGAATCTCATTGGAATAGAACACAGTTGGTATTTACAACACAGTTGGTATTTACAACACAGTTGGTATTTACAACACAGTTGGTATTTACAACACAGTTGGTATTTACAACACTTGTATCAATGTTTCCTATTCAGCAAAAGAGGTTTCCCACTTGTTCATGCTTTTCAGTGAAGTTTAAGTTTTTATCTTTTTCCTATGATCCTTTTATTTATTAAAAGCCGATCTTTGCAGACATATGAACCAGCATCGGTTCTGCTCGCATGGAAATATGTTGTTATAAAATAGAAATGAATGTTTCTTCTGTAAGGCTTGATGTAAGCATTTTCTGCAGCGTTCTCAAACAGGCTGTTGAACTGTATCTTCTTTTGACTTATGGATCTCATCACTTTTAAACAAAAGAAGTGTTATTCCATTGACTAGCCATGAAGAAATAGTCTTTAGCGTTTCATATTATCATTAAAAGATACGGTAAATTTGTTAGGACTATCAGGAAATACGTTTAACCAATAATTAGGGATTTTATATTTCGCGGCCATTTTCCATTTATTGAATTTCTTTAAAGCAGTTCTAGAATCATCTAAAATTATATCATTTTATATTTGATTTTCTAACGTTTCATAATTTGCTTTCTTTTTTAATATCTATAAAGCATTCTAATTGTGGCAGACCACACTTTTTGGATTTGTTCAGCTGTTGGGAGGGGTTGACAGCTATAGTAGATTTACCTGCTTTTTGTAACTTTTTGAGGATACTTTTTAGACTACATTATTATCTTTATAGAATATTGATTTTTCCTTTTTTTTCGAATATTTTCTCGTCTGATTAACTTTTGATTTTCTCACATCAATTCCATTGTTTATACATTTCTATAATATATTTTAATCAATTCATTTGCTTGCTTATTTTTCTTGTCGTACCATTTTCTTTCTATCCGTATTCATTGTTCTTTTCTTGATTATAATGCCACAAAAATTTCTGCTTAACTTAGCCGCCACTTATCTTAGCTCATTCATAGATATAAGACTGATTTCATTTTCACTTATGATGGACTGTATCACTGCATTGAATTTTACCATTACTTTCTTCTTTTTCCTTTGAGTTACATAATTTTGGAGGTGAGTCGCTATCTTTTACGGCACTGTTTCAATATTAGGAGCTCTTGAAATAATCGCTTTTCTTTTTTGGTTCAGTAAATTTAGTTTGTGTGAGACTTTTTGGATACGCAGTGTTCTGATTAGAATTCACTTCATGTGAATGTAATTAATTTTGAACATTATTTATGATTTGCCTGATTTCATCGTCATTCATTTGCTAGTATTGTTGGATTATTCTGGGCGCCATGATTTTCTATTGTAATTTGAGAATCAGGCATTTTTCATCGTTTAGATTGCATTTAAATTTATGTTAAAATTTTCTGGCTGATGATATTCCGACGAAGATTAGCTAATTTATTGCTATCAATATACGATTTATTGCAAATTTTATACCCTTCTATATCTGTATGCTTGCTCTGTGTTTGATAACATTGATGAAAAAATCCACGGTGATGAAATAGGTGTCTGTGACTTAATCAAGTCCAACTAGTATGCCTAACTAGTTCAGGTCGAGCAACAGGCAAACAAACCTGTGGTACTGAACGGAATAATGAATCTAAATTTACAAAGAAAATCATCTTAACACTTCCAATTACTTAAGACAAGTTAAAACATTTAGTTAAGACATTACAGCCATAGCTGGTGCAACAATGAGCGCATTTCTTCTCCTTCTTCTTCTTGACATTGATATAATTAATGTGCATCACCAACTGAGAAAATTCCCTAAGAAATGACGAATAAATATTGTATGAAATTTAGATTTGTATTTCTGTGCAAATGATTTAGGAATTTGTGAAAGTTTTATACACTACATCTCTACTCGAGTTATCAGCATCGTAAAAGAATGCATTATAAAGATCTCAAGTGACAACCAATAACATAAAAGAAATGCCTTCGTCTTCCATTCAGTTGCAATCGACCAATAAAGCTGGTTTTATGCAGACGATAAACGTTTTTCAAAGACAAATCTACCAGATAATCATTTTCTTCTTTTGTTATCGGCTGATGTCGATAGAGGTTTGGAATTGGTCGAGAGGTACTTACATTCTGAAAATATCTATTTAAGCAGAAGAAGCCATATTGTAACACGTGAAGAGAGAAAGAAAGACGAAATAATGGAAAGCATATATATGCGTGTGTATGAAGAGGGAGAGAGAGAGAGAAGGAGAGAGGCAGGAAGAGAAAATAGTGTTAAGATTTAAGTTGCTGATTTGAAAGAAAAGAGGTAAATGGAACGGAATTTACCGAAACGAATGAGAAAGATGAATAGATTATGATGATATTGATGATAATGAGGAAGGAAGGGAGGAAGAAAGAAATAAAGAAAGAAAGGAAAGGAAGGAGGGAGGAAGGAAAGAAAGAAAGAAAGAAAGCAGGGAAGAAGGGAGGTAGAAATGAAAAAGGAAAGAAGTAAAGAAAAAGAAAAAAGAAAAGAATGCGGGAAGAGACAGGAATTAAAAATGAAAGAAAAAAGAAAGAAAGAAAGAAAGAAAGAAAGAAATGAAAGAAAGGAACGAGGGAGGAAGGAAGAAAAGGAAGCAGGGAAGAAGGTAGACAGAAATGAAAAAGGAAAGAAGTAAAAAAGAAAGAAGAAAAGAATGCGGGAAGAACATGAATTAGAAATGAAAGAAAGAAAGAAATGAAAGGAAGGAGGGAGAAAGGAAGAAAAGGAAGTAGGGAAAAAGGGTGGCAGAAATGAAAAAGGAAAGAAGTAAAAAGAAAAGAAAGAAGACAGGAATGCCGGAAGAGGCAGGAATTAGAAATGAAAGAAAGAAAGAAAGAAAAAAAGAAAGAAACAAATGAAAGGAAGGAGGGAGGAAAGAAAGAAAGAAAGCAGGGAGGAACGGAGGCAGAAATGAAAAAGGAAAGAAGTAAAAAGAAAAGAAAGAAGACAAGAATGCGGGAAGAGACAGAAATTAGAAATGAAAGAAAGAAAGAAAGAAAGAAAGAAAGAAAGAAAGCAAAGGGAAGAAGGTAGGCAGAAATGAAAAAGGAAAGAAGTAAAAAAAAAGAAAGAAGAAAAGAATGCGGGAAGAGACAGAAATTAGAAATGAAAGAAAGAAAGAAAGAAAAGAAAGAAAGAAAGAAAGAAGGTAGGCAAAATGAAAAAGAAAGAAAAAAAAAAAGAAAGAAGAAATGAAAGGGACAGAAATTAGAAATGGAAAGAAAAAGGTAAAGAAAAAGGAAATGAAAGGGGAAAAAAAGGGGAGGAGAAAAAAGAAAAAGTAGGAAAGAAGTAAAAAGAAAAGAAAGAAGACAAGAATGCCTTAAGAGACTGCAAGGAATTAGAAATGAAAGAAAGAAAGTAAGAAAGAAAGAGCGCAGAAAACAACGAAGGAAAAATTAAAGGAGAAAGGCAGGAAGAGAAGAAAAAAAGAAAAAGATACGGAAAGAAAAAGTAATGAATGAAACGAAAAGAAGACAAAGATAGCGTCTATTGCATTGAATGTAGAAAATTATCAATAGTAATACTAATGTAGAAATATTGGGATAGGATCATCCTGCAATAAGCACAAGAGCGTGGGTTTTCAGAATGGTAACGACTCGAAACGCATATTAATCTGAGCCAACAATGAAAATATTAACACAGAAGTGCTTCTGTAATCATACAAATAGCTGGACATCACATCCAGAGACAATTGATGGCAAAAAATTGTAACTAACATTCAGTATAATAAACCCACACGTTTTAACGATCTCTGTAATAATTTGGGAAAATCTTGTGAATTTTTTCTTTTAAAAAGACATTAAGGAATCTAATTGTATCTGTAATGATACTGATATAGCAACTAAATGAAAACACGCGAGGTTTAGTGAATAATATGAGATTTCAATATTTCATATCAGAGCCGATACTTCAAAAATAAATTTGCGCATGCAAATAATTACAACGTAAATTCGATAAATTAGGATTTGATAGTAATAGGACGCTGCGTCTGGTGGCATTTAAACGATTAGTAACACAGTACTAATAAGCCAATTCAGACGTGCCTGTGACTAAAAGAAGGCAACAAGGAGACGGTAGTGTTATGATATGGGCTGGAATTGTCAACCAAACCATTATTGAACCATTAAAAGTCGATGAAGGAGTTAAACTGAACCATGCAAACTATTGTGATTTTATGAATAAGATTTTCTTTACATTGTATAAAGTCCCAGTCTTACAGTTTCAAAGTGAAATGTCTATTTATGCATGACAATGCCTCTTTTCATGTATCTAAGCTTAGAGAATTCTTTGAGCGTAAAATATTTACCGGAGAGAAGATAATGGAATGGCTACCGTCAAGTACTGATCTGAATCCGATCGAAAATCTATGGTCAAATGTGAAAATAAAATTATATGAAAGTGGAAGACCTGTGGGAAGCAATTAAAACTACGATGTCGGAAATTGAACCAGACGAAGTAAGAAAATTTGCAAAATCTTTGGATAATAGATTGGTGGCTGTTATTGAGAAGAAGGATCACTAAATTAAAAGGGATTCAAAGTCTTACCATGTGTTTGTTATTTGTTATTTGCTATTAAAGATGTTTTTGATGATTTTATTACATTTTATTGAAGTAAAATGTGATGATTTGGTTTTATCTAATAACTTCAAACGACAGTTTCTTTAGAATACATCAAATAACCTCAATAAAACATATTGTTACTACCTAAAATTTGAACTCAATCTTTGTTTTGATATCTAAATTGATTGTTTAAAATTTGGCAATTTTTCTCAAAGCAATTTTATATGATTTGCTTAATAACTACTGACAAGGTCTACATATTTTAATCTACATATTTTAATCTGCATATTTTAATCTACATATTTTAATCTGTATATTTTAATCTACATATTTTAATCGCCATATTTTAATCACCATATTTTAATCTATATATTTTAATCAGCATATTTTAATCAACATATTTTAATCTACATATTTTAATCTACAGTAGTAGATTCATCTCGTCCCTCTTTCCATGTAAATAATGATAACCTCTCATCCAAGATATCCTTAATGTCACTAATAAACTACTATTATGACTTTCTACTAATGTCTTTCTTGTGACTGACGTAGGTATTTTCTACCCGTGACATAAGTAAAAGTAAAATTCACATTTCAAACCATCCTTTTCAATGCCGGTAGTTAAGTTCCTTCAACAACGATCCGCCCATTCTTGACAAGCGCCTGTCTTTTATTAGATTAAACTAATCCGTCGAAGAATCTAGAAAGAAACAACAGGAGAAAAATCTAGAAAGAAACAAAAAGGAGAATAATCCTAAAACTTTTCGAAAAATAAGTTAGAAACTAGAAAACCGGTAAAAGAAGTCAAGATGAAAAAAAAAATGAATAAATAAGAAGCATTGGTTATAGCTTCACACAAAGATCCAGAAAAAAAGTAAATGAACGAATTTTATACAAAAGAAAGTGAAGGAGTGAAAAGAAAGAAAACGGTCGCTACAATTTTGAGAATGCTTACGCAGCAGAAAATAATCCCTGTCTTACACACAGAAAATAACAGAGCGTAGAAAACGTGTGTCTTTGTTTGTTGCTGGTTCACTGACTCTGGCGGAAGGATGACATAATTCATGGTCGATGTGTAGGACTGCTGTTCCGTTCAACTCGAATCAACGGAGGATTAAAATATGATTCAATATCCCCATTCGATTTTCAGAGGAAGTGGAATATTTCGCATTAGGAAATTATTACGCCCTGCCCGACTTGTTAGAAAAGCATTAGAATTTTTATCATGATTACTAGTTGATTCTTCGATATTAGTTGAAGTAGTTATGATTTTAACAATTTATTCTGTGTCATGAAAAAGCGATTTATTTTAATTACTTTCAAATTTTTTGGTTCACAAGGCACTAACTCTTTCTAGTGCGAATATTTACTATATATATATATATATATATATATATATAGGACAATAGGGAAACTGTAATACTTGCCGACGCGTTTCGTCCGATGTGGATTTTTTACACAGATTTGCCTTGAAAAAATTCACATCGGACGAAATGCGTCGGCAACTATTACAGTCTTCCTATTGTCTTTTTACATTTATAAATATTGTCATTTTCTACAGGTTAACTCTGAGAATATATATATATATATATATATATATATATATATATATATATATATATATATTATTTTATAAATATCCACATGCAAAACTGCGAAAATTAAAAAAATGCGAAAAAGATTTTAAAGACCCATTCCATTTTCAAGAATATTTTTCACTGTTTAGCATTTTGATACAGACAGAACTGTTCAATGGGCAAGCACCAAGAGATCATCGTGGCTCAATATTTGGGCATAATGGTCTTAAGAAAAATCTTGATCACACCAGATGAAGCGCTATATTCTAGAAACTTTAACTAAGAAGCGCTTAGAATAGTCGCAGTGTAAACTACAGATGTACTCCGTGGGTATTTTTACAAATAAAAATTTGTCTGAGCATGGCGTCTGCAACAGGGATTGTCTAGCTGTACTAGCAGACGGGTGTGCCCGCGGAAACGACTAACCGGCTATTACATCAGTTGTCAGTATAAAGAATATTGTTTTAACAGATGGCGACATCTTTTAGTGAGAACAGATTAAATATACTTTAATGTTTAAAAAATATTCAGTTTTATTGTTTACGTAATAAGCATTACACAAATAGCTATATTATGGAAAAATAAATTTTCCACAATATACGTATTTTTTACATATGTATGGTTATTTTTTAACTTTAATAAAAAACGACATTTTGTAGATATAGTTATGGATAATGTTATACATTAATTATTAGTTTTCTTAATAACTATTTGTGCTCAGTTGTTGATATTAATAGCTATCTGCTGATGTATTAACATTTTGGAATAACGCAATAATAAAAATTTAAATTTTATCTCTCCGATAGATGTCGCGATCTGTAAAAAGATTGTCAGAATTTTGAAGGTAGCCTTTATTATTGTAACTGTTTATAACTTCCGCCCATTTTTAGTGATAATGGCTTCCCAGATTGGTTAGCGAATGCCATCGTGCAAGGCACTGACATTAATTTTTTTTATTCATATTTGCATTATGAACCTCCCAATCTATCTTCACTACTGTATGTCCATATCTCATTTTGTTTTAGCATCGTTTGGGATTGGTGCAAGGGAAAGTCAAACTGATGCAATTTCAAAGAATATGTGATGCAGAGAAATTTCGAAATCCGAATTGTTTGTTTGATTAAAAAGTTAAATGTGACATTTTCTAAAAGTGACGTTTATCAGCAAATTATCGAGATTTCGTAGCCAAATATCTCGCGTCACTGTTTCCTCAATTTCCTTTCATTGTAATTATTTTTCATTTCTATCTTTCTTTCCCTTCTCGTTTTATTGATTCTGTCGAAAAGCTACAAATACATACCCTTCATTTGCCGTCACTCATTTCAGCGCATTGATGCGTGAAACACGATACACAGGCACCGGTTTGTCTACATACATGTAAGTTAACCCTTGATAGACAAGGTGCTAAACAAAGACCCTGTTAAATGGCTTTGCCTAAGAAAAAATAATTGAGAAAAAATAAGATCCTTTATTTCCTGGTGAAGGGGTTTCGAGAAATGTGTGAACTATCCAGGTAGCCTCAAGGAATTCTAATTAAGGTGATGAAGAGATTCAGGTCTTCTTCTATGTGCTATGTTCCTTTAGGACAATCCCAGTTCATGACTCTCCACAATTTCCTGTTCTTTGTAGCTCCTAATAAATTTTGTCTTTTCCCTACCTCTCCCAAACCTTGCTCAGACTATCTAGTTAGATTATGCGTTGTTTTCATCTTGCCTTCAATATATCCTGTGAGTATCAAATTCGTCAAGCCATTTCTTCTCATTATCTGTCTTAAAATTTCAACTATCTCTTTTTCATGTTAAGTATAAATATCCCTTTTGTTTTTGTTCTCTCAAAAACTTCTTCGTTGTTCACATGTCAAGTCCATGGTATTCACAGCATCCTTCTGTAGAACAGCATTTCTGTTGCTTCAAGTCTCTTCTTTATCTTTAATGACATTGTCAGCACTCACAGCCATATAAGAGGACTAATATAACATAACAGTTTAGTACTCTTCTCTTTGTTTCTAACGAAATGTTTTTGTTTCTAAATACTTTGCTTAGAAGGGTATTCCTGATCGTTCTATAATTGTTTTGCGTTTATTTGATGTTGTGACACATAATATAATGCGGTCTGCAACATATAGCATGTCTGCTCAATCGGCTTAAAACCTGTTGAGGGCCGAGGCTATTGTTATACGTGAAAGTGGAATCAACTATTCCTGAAATAGATTTCCTATACCCCGCGCAGCACAGGGATTCGTGGTCTTGTTCACATAAACCTTCACTACTCGGAAATGTAGGGTTTAAATATTCCACAACCGGATTTGTGTAAGCCGCATCCGCTAAGAAAGTCAACAGTTTCATTACTTGTCGTTGTTTACTGCAGCAGAACAAAATCCAAACCATTACAAATCATCCAGGGTGGGCCCACAGCTTTGTGAAGTCTTTTCCATACACAAACTTGACGCTCGAAAGGGTTGGCTGAATGATTAGTTTGACCAGGCGACACGATGTCAATATTCCACGGTTGAGTTGCGATATTCTCCGGTCCAGGTGAGCTTAAATAACAATGCTGTAATGTCAATAATTATTCTTCTGTTGATCGAAGACAACGGTGACGAAGCCACAAATTGTCCGACAGATTCAGCGGCAAAGAATAAAGATTTGATCTAATGTAATATTCGTCGTCCATCCTTTCCATTCGCTGGTAGACTCGTTCTTGCATCATCTGTGAGTGCCACACTTGTTATTATTGCTCGAGGAAAATGGAAACAGTTGCTTCTTTGAAGTAGTCCATATTATCCCAAGTACATTGATGTTTTTCATAATGTGAGTTAATCTTCTCACGTGCTATAACTGATAAGTCAGTATTGGTAAGATTTTCAATATATATTTATATCAACAATATTTAGTGTCAGTTTATAATATCTATTTTTTATTTAAAATATTGGTAATAATTTGGATCGAACATTATTACAGGCCCTTCTTTGAATTTTGTCAAGAATCTCGAGTTATGTATTTGGAGCACCATACCAGATATGGCATAAGTATTAAGTGCAGGGGCGAATGGTAGGTTTATAAATGGGAAATAGAGATTCTGTCAAGAAGAATTGTCTGGAACGAAACCGTGATTCATTTTCCTCGCAGATCTAGCAATTGATTCAGTTTGATCACTCGACGCCATGTCAGTGGAAAACGTGTGTCCAAGAAGGCCCAAGTGTTAATCCCCGAGAAGCTAATGGTAGGCAGAGAAACTTATCTGTGGGAAGTGAAGAACAGAAGTTTTGTTTTGAGGGTATTCTTTATCCCAGTTAATCACGGATTGGTTATCTTTTTTAATCTTTTAATTTTATCTTTTTTAAGCCAGTTTTTATTTTGTCGGATTTGTCTGACTTGTTACTAAGACAGAAGCAAATAGCTGTGGCATCTGATGACATCGCGAAGGACGTTGATGAATATCAGAATCAGCGTAGGTCCAAGGATAGAGTCCTTGGGGCCCATGAATTAATATGAAATGAAATAGAAGCGTATCCCTTCAACACAAGCTTCATTACACGATTTCTTAGGGACGATTGTATTAGACTGAATATTCGTCCAGAGGACTTGAGTTTGTGAAGAAGTCCAGAATTCCAAATCCTGTAGAAAGCCTTTGAGATATCTAAAGCCGCAGACCGAGCTTAGCTATTCTTATCTAGAGCTTGTTAGACAAATTCACTGATGGGTTTTAAAACATCGGCGGTAGACAGAAACCATATTGCTTATCCAAAAGTAAAGATGTTTAACCAATTCGGCTTTGTTTAAAGCCTCTAAAGCGGTAAGAGATTAATAGGGTGATAATTCGAATGTTCCCTAGAGTTCTTAGAGACAGCAACAAGTTTGAAAACATGGAATTAGCAAGTTCAAGAACACATTTAACCCATTAACTGCCAAATATTTTTAATGCGCATTTTTGGCCCAGACAGGTGTCTTAGAAGTTTATTTATTCCTTATGTTTAATTTCAGTAGTTACCATTGTCGTTTTTATAGAAACTAGAACATCAAATGTATATGTGTATAAAAATCAAAAAATTATATTGATTAGAAATAATAAAAAAATACTTTTCAAAATAGTCATTATTTTTCTACCCACGAAATGTAAAATTACGACAGAAAGTGTCTTCTTACGGCTAATAATAAAAATTTTAAAGGCTAAGTGTTGTAAAATATACCTCTTCAAATGTAATGTATGTAAGCAATTCAATGTAATTACAAGGAATAACATGTAGCGAATTTAATTTTAACAGATTCCTAAATGAGGCTCATGGCAAGTAACGGGTTAATGAAGGCAATTGATTGCGGGGATAACTCTTGTTGAGAAACTAGAACTGAAACCATAGCCGGAGTTAGGTGTCTATCAATCAGGAAAGACCCTATTCGGGAGTGGAGCAGAGATACTTCAGATCAGTCCCAATCGTTGATAACAGAATGGTGTTCTATTAACAGACAATTCTTTCCTTATGGGAAAGCGAAAAGCAATATCTATAAACACTACCGCTTTTTAAGGAATAATTTGTGTTTTCTTTACAACACGTGTAGTATGTTGATACTGTCCTTATCCCTGCACGCCGCAAGAATATTTGCAGACGCGTGTAGAGAGAGGGATTCTGTTGGAAACACATATAAGAAAAATCCCATGCCAGTGGGAGATGTTCGTGAACATAGGGACCGAAGACAAGTATATGGACACTAGAGTTCTTTCAAAAAAGCGGAAGATAGCTAGGAACAGAGAATTTCGTGGAAAATATTGAAGCCTTCAGATTAGTTTCACAGAGAGATAGGGTTGGAGAACTTTCAAAGGGAAATGATTATACTATTTGAGTGAGACATTAAGCAATTATGACGATCATAGTCTGGATGCCAGCGAGTTCAGAGCCGTTAGAGTGATGAAGCCACTTCATGTGATGGACATTGGAATCACCGAAAGCAAACATATTTGCAGACGCGTGTAAAGAAAAGCCTGCCTTTGGAAGCACATATAAGAAAAATGTGGAGATTCAAGAGACAGTTCCCTTCACAGTGGGGGATGCTCGTGAACAAAGAGACGAAAGACAAGCATATGAACATCAGAGTCCTTTCGATAAACAGGAAGATAGCCAGGAACAGAGAATTCAGTGGAAAAGATTGAAGTCTTCAAATTAATTTCACAGAGCTAGGTTATCTGGATAAAAAGAGAAATGATTGTGCACTGCAGAAATAGCCACGAACGCCACGAATGTAGAAGAAATAAAGGTTGACAGGATTAGGTGTTTTTTTTTTTGCAAGTTGGTTTAGTTTTATTTCGTTTCTTTCAGTCATGATGTTCGTTAAAGGTAGAAAAATCAAAGAATAATACTAGCTGTCGGTCGACCAAGGCAACATGAGCTGGCAGGAAATCTGTGCAGACTGGAAATGCTTTCAGAGACACATATCCATGTGTGACGTGACACTGCATGAAACCGGATATTATATGACTGTTGATTAGAGCAGACTCTCAAAGCGCTATCCAGGCTCCTTACTGCCAACTGGTAGTAAGGAGTCAGTCGGTTACTTACCCTTAGTAAGATGTGTTGTAGCCTACAGCCAGTCATAACACCAAAAACTCCCGACAATAAACCCTTATTAAGGTCATTGAAGAAGAAACAGGAAAAGCCCTCATAAATAAGATAAGCTTCTACTCTTGGTCATAAGATGGTGGTGGAAGATTATGAACCAGCCTATCTATTCCTATTCCCGGTCCGTAGGCGGAGGTATTAATTAACTTAATGTACGATTCCAGTGTATCTGTAGTTTCTTTAAGAATAGAGTTAGCAATTAAATTTCAAAATTATGATTTGTGTTTGAGGGCAACACTTATAATCATACATACAATGTTACAGGGCATATATATATATATATATATATATATATATATATATATATATATATATATATATATATATATATATATATGGTCGGGCATTCTGTACTTTCACTCAGTGGAAACGGGAGAGGAATAACTGAACACTGCTAAATAAAATTAAGAACTAGACGAAAGTAGATTAACTAAAGGTTTCACTTCAGGATTCTCTGTTGGTTACACAGATCGATACACAGTGAAGGGGACAACGACCGAAACATTGTGATAGTAACAACAAATATGTGAACAATAGTTTGAATATACTGTAAATAATGATAAATCTCCATCTCCCACAAATTCAGACAGACACATATATATATATATATATATATATATATATATATGTGTGTGTGTGTGTGTGTGTGGGGGGACTCCTGAAAATGAATGAAGAAAAATAGGTATTACATTCATAAATTGAGTTTCAAACATAGTAAACATGAAAATACAACGGCGTTATCACCTTATGACTAGAAAATTAAAAGGGAAGTAAGTCTCCTAAAATAATTTGGCGAGTTCATAAAAAAAGCAGTACGTGTACAAATACTTGGTGTTTTGCTCTGAAGAGAAAGTTCGATAAGCGATAACAGAATGCTAAATAAAATGTCAGAAATTAGAAATAGGCATAGTACAAAACACCTATTGTGTTACGTAGGTTTTTTCCTCTACACCCTCTCTCTCTTTTTTTCTTTTCACACCTCCTCTTAATAGTACAGTTACATTGTCTAGTTAGACACATCCACAATTTTTTCTTTGTTTTTTTTTTTCATTTTCCCCCGTGAGAGAGGGAATTACCGAGGTATTATATAAAAAATTCCGTGATGCATTAGCGTAGGTGTGTTAAAGTCATGAGTGTATAAAGCTAGACCCCATTTCATTTAGTTGCATTCTAACCGCCGGAAAATCTTGAGAGCGTGAAACTTGAGTAATGCCTTTGATAGGAATTGACATTTTGAAGCGTTTTTTGCTATGTCTGTTGACCCTGTTTGCTGTAGTCTTTGAATATAGAATCCAGTGCAGTACGTAATGTGTTCAATGGAACAACGCCAGTAGTAGCAGCTGTTCTGTAATTCTTCAGGTCTTCGATATCAGAGGTTGGCAGTGAAGATTCAGAGAAAGTAGCAGCTGTTAAGTAATTCTTCAGGTCTTCGATTCAGAGGTTCAGAGGATTGGAAAGTAGCAGTGAAGATATATTTGGGAAGAAAAAAAAAAACAAACTGGCTGCCTTTATACACGTTGGATTGAATATTTTGAGCTTTCTGATTGGTTAACCCTTCTCTTGGTGGACTGTAAAATGAGTCAGGTCATTTTCATTGGCTCACTAGTACTAAAGTACCCCAAAATTCTAACAATGTCTAGGTAATCTGGGCGTAATTTTTCTATAAATCTTTTCTAGTAACTACTCTGACGAGGTTTTTTCTCTGGTGCCCCGACTACATTAATTTGAGCGTGC